GGATGTGTGGAACTGTTCAAAAGCCTGGGTGGGGAGCCACGTCGCGTTCAGGGTAGGGTGAAAAGCAAACCCATGGCACCAGGGGGTGAGTGGCGTACCGATCACGAAGGAAAGGCAAGTGATTGCACCACACTGGCTTGGGCATGCGTCAGAAGAAACTTGTTGCGCATCAGGTAGAACGGCGCGGGCGCAGAACTGATGCTGCCCATCTGCCAGACGTCCCACCGGTGCATACCTAGCATACAATTCGCAAGTGTGTGTGTGTGTGTGTGTGTGTGTGTGTGTGTGTGTGTGTGTGTGTGTGTGTGTGTGTGTGTGTGTGTGAACGTTGTTGAGATGATGAGTGGCAGAGTGAGTCATCGAAGCAGAGAGGTGACAGCAGTAAGCGACTGAAGGTGGGAGGAACAGCACCTAAGCGTGCAAGTGTACACCCGCAAGCACGTCCTCAAACACACACACACACACACAAGCAGAAGCACACATGAAGAAGCAACGTACTCTTGCAAAGCACCGGGCCCGTCTGGGTTTGCGGCACACGCCGTGTATGGACCTCCATCCAAGCTGCAGACGAAGGCACGGCGCATCAGGTTGTTCTCATCTGCAACCTGCTGCGCGGCGGTGGACGTGTCTGTGGGGACTTGCACCACTCCAAAGCCGACGCGTGTAGGGGTGTTCAGGATCACAGGCTGGCTGACGTTTGCGCAGGAGCCTGCCGTGCACACGAGGTTGACGGCAACCTGGGCTTCTTGCGCCGAGGCACCATACAGACCCAGCAATGCGAGGACCATCAACGTTGTGCACAGCAGCGACCGAGGAGCATGATGAAGAGCAGGTGCACCGCACGTCAAGTGGCGGCGACATGTGTTGCTGCTCGTTGCTGTGCTTCTTCGTTCTGCACTGTGCTTGTTGTGATAGCAGCTGTGACAGTTGCTGTCATAGCAACTGCAACCCCTTCTTCCACGGCGGCCCCTCTCACACGTCATGGCGGCAGCCACGAGCGGAGCAGGGGTGTGGGGAGTGGGATGGCAGCAGGGAGGAGGCAATGCAGGTGGAAGCAAAAGAAGGGAACAACAACAACCACACAACACCAAGCAAGCAACAAGCGTTGTTGGTGTTGGCTGGTGTATTTTCGTTTGCTTCACGCTGAATGAAATGAAGGTGGTTCGTGCAGGAATGGCGGCGGTTATCGCTGCGCTGCTGGTTGTCGTGACTGTGGTTGGTGTTGGTGACAGCGCCGTTGCAGCAGCAGCAGCAGGGGCAGCAGCAGCAGCAGCAGCAGCAGGGGCAGGAGCAGGAGGAGCAGAGGCAGCTCCCAACGCGATCCCGGGCGATCTGCCCAAGGAGATTGCAGACCACAAGTTTGTGTTTGTCGTCGGCGCTCACCACAGGTTGTGTGTGCGTGCGTGTATGTGCGTGTGTGTGTGCGTCGCTGCTTGTGCTGGATGGCTGACACTCACCTTGTTGTTGTTGTTGTGCTTGTGCTGGATGGCTGACACTCACGTTGTTGTTGTTGTTGTTGTGCTTGTGCTGGATGGCTGACACTCACGGTGTTGTTGTTGTGCTTGTGCCAACCGTGAACGACATGCTGCTCTAATGTTTGTAGCGGCACCACCTTGCTCGACTTGATCATCGGCGAGCACGAGGATGCCACCGCGCTCAAAGGTGACAGCCATCAGGCATACACACACACACACACACACACATGCACGCACACATGCACACACAATTCCATTGTCCATTGCGATGCATCAACTCCTGTTCACATTGTGACTGCGATGGATGCTTCCAGGCACGGGCAAGGCCGCCAATGAGGGCCAGCATGTGCAAAATGTAAGTGGATCTCCATCAGGCATGAACGCAATGGTGATGGTTTCTTTGCTTCAGCTCATGCCATGACAAAGTCTCACCTGACACTTCCCCCCTTCTTGTACGCTTGTGTGTTTGTGCTTGCGCGTGTGTGTGCTTACACTCGTTGCACCTTGCAGGTGTACAAGCCCGCTCACGATCTGGGCGGCGTAATCTCATATGCCTTCAACGGAGAAGCGTACATGGATGAGACGGATCCGCGGTTGACGGCAGACAACCGGCTCAGCCTGTACAACTCTTGGGCAAAGTACTGGAATACAAGCAAGCCGTATCTGGTCGAGAAGTCACCGCGCCACATCACCATGACCCGCTTCCTGCAGGTATGCAGGAAATGGCGACTCGTTGCGTTTTGCTGCTGCTGCGTTGTACAGTACAGCAGAGTGCAGCTGCTGGTGACCATGACGTACTCTGTTCCACGTACGCACACATGTACACGCACACATGTATACTCACACATGTATACACACACATGTATACACACACATGTACACGCACACATGTACACGCACACATGTATACTCACACCCACACTCACACACATACATACATACACACACACACACACACTCACACACACACATACATACACACACACACACACACACACACACACACACACACACACACACACACACACACACACACACACACACACACACACACACACACACACACACACACAGGAGATGTTTACGCGGGAGCGGACGTACTTTGTGATTATCATGCGGCACCCGTTTGGCGCGTTTGACTTTGTGTTCAGGCAGTACCCGACACAGAAGTCATATGGGTGCGGCTACTTGGAGCTGCGGCAGTGGCTCACCCTGCACGAGAACCTGATGGACGACATCAAGCACCTAGAGAACGTGGTCGTGGTGCAGTTTGAGCAGTTGCTGGGGCTTGGCCACGAGGCAACTCAGAACCTCGCCAATGAAATCTTTGAGTTTTTGCACCTCCCGCCCAACGTGCAGCTGGACATCGACGGGGGCACCTCTGACGAAGCAAAATACATCCACTGGTGCGAGCAGAAGGGCTTACATGTGTGGGTGGCTCGATGCTTGCATGCATGCAAGGGGGACTGCTGGCTTGGTGTGGAAGCGTACTGATGCTTGCTTGGCTGGTCCATGATTGTCGTGGTCTTCCTTGGTGTTGCAAAGCAGTTCACGCGCATTTGACCACACACCTGCCACACACACACGCACACACACACACGCACACACACACACACGCACACACACACACACACACACACACACACACACACACACGCACACACACACACACACACACACACACACACACACACACACACACACACACACACACACACACACGCATGCACACACACCGCAATGATGCTAGGTACACGAGCTTGCGCAAGACGCACCCCAACTGGTTTGACAAGGATGGCCGGTACATCAAGGCGCCAAACGCGCGCGTGCCGCTGCCGGACTTCTACCGCCCCGAAAACTACAAGCCGAGTGACTACTCACCACCGCCACGCGGAGTGCGCCGCAGCACGCCTGGCACGCGTGGCAAAGGGGAGGAAGAGGCGGGGGAGCAGGCAAGCAAAGACAACAGCAGTGGCAACACCAAGCCCCGTGGTGATGGCACGGCCGACGCTGGCGCTGGTGGAGATGGCAGCGCAACAGCAGCGGCGGGCGTTGCCGACACGGCTGCGATTGACGCCGTTGTTGAGCGCACGCAAGAGGAGCTGGATCGCACAGCGGATGGGGAGCAGAAGGCGGTTCTGCAGAAGCACCTGGATGCACTGAAGGAGGCGCGGGACCTGCTGATCAACAAGGCGCTGCAAGGCGACCGCACAGATGACGAGGACGACGACGACGGCCTGGCGGAGGAGGCAGACGTGGAGGAAGTGGGCGATGATGGCGCGACCGCGAAGCGACGCAAGCTGCTCACGTACTACGGCAACATGCGGTCGCATGTCCAGGTGCACACGGGCTCTGTGTTTGACTGGGCGGAGAAGTGGGCGAACACGGACTGGAGCTCAAAACAGTGCTCGCGCTTGATGAAGGACCTGGAGCCCAGGCTGGGCAAGTTTGGATACACCCTCAAGAACCTCACCTACTACGAAGCACCCAAGGCGTTCAAAGATTACCTCCTCCACCCCTTTTAGCTTGTGTGCTTGTGTGTGCTTGTGTGTGCTTGTGTGTGCTTATGTGTGCTTGTGTGTGCTTGTGTGTGCTTGTGTGTGCTTATGTGTGTGTGTGTGCGTGTGTGTGTGTGTATGCTTGTGTGTGTGTGCGCTTGTGTGTGTGTGTGTGTGTGTGTGGTTGTTGTGCCAGCAATCAACGTATACAATTTATGATGTCGCAGACGGCTGTGTTTCGTGGAAACCGCTGCACTCTGGCTGACGCTGACGCTGACGTTGCACTGCTCGCCAGCGTCATTCACCTCCCTCCCCCCACACACATGTACACACGAACAAGCTCCAACGTGCACGCGAGGATGGGGCAACAAAAAGGGCCGGCATTCGTGACGCTGGCTTTAGCGGTACTGCTTGTTTTGGGAGACGCACCAGCTCCTTGTTCTGCAGCAAAGTCGGAAGACCTCACCTTGCCGGATTGTGACGTGGCGCGAAAACACTACGACAAAGGGCAACTGTACAAGGTGTTGGGCGTCAACTCAAAGGCAGATGACAAGACCATTCGAAGGTGAGTGTGTGTGCGTATGTGTGTGAGTGAGTGAGTGAGTGAGTGTGAGTGTGTGAGTGAGTGAGTGTGAGTGAGTGTGGGTGAGTGTGAGTGAGTGAGTGAGTGAGTGTGAGTGAGTGTGTGCGTGGGCGGGTGCATGACGACTATGTACTTTGTTTTCAAGCACACGAACTGCTACACTCACACCTGCCTTGCTTGCACCCTTGATGGTGCTCGACAGGGCATTCAAGAAAATGAGCGTCAAGTGTCACCCTGACAAGGACCGCGAGAACGAGCACGCCGAAGACAACTTCATCGCCATCACAGGAGGTAAGTTCTTGTTACACACACACACACACACACATTCACGTTTGCACTAGAGACACGCGCTTCGTGGCACTGCGTGCAATGCATACAGCGGCCCATGCTTGCGGTTGCCACCTGTTTGTTTTTGGCTTGACTGAGCTCACACCACTTTTGCCTGGTGCAGCATATGAAACGCTCAGCAACGAGGAGGAGCGAAGGAACTATGACATGAGTCGCAGCAGCCCAGGTGGCGGTGCTCGCGGGCAGCACCAGCAGTTCCAACAGCAACAGGGCGGCTGGAAGCCAAAGCCATACCAGGACGTGCCTGTCAACGACGTGTTCAGCAAATTCTTCCGCACTGGCGGGGCTGGCGGCGGGCAGCAGCAGCAGTTCTACACTTATTCCAGCTCGTCCTCGTCCGGCACTAATGACGACTTTGACCGCACCTTCGAATCGCTCTTCAAGAACTTTCACTTTGAGCGTGGCGCAAACCATGGTGTGTGTGTATGTGTGTGTGTGTGTGTGTGTGTGTGTGTGTGTGTGTGTGTGTGTGTGTGTGTGTGTGTGTGTGTGTGTGTGTGTGTGTGTGTTCGTTTGTATTCCCCACTTTTGCATGCGACGTGTGTGAGACGCGAGAGCCTCCGTGGTGCTTTGCATGCAGATTCTGCTGCTCATTCACGTATCCCCGACCTCCTTGCTTTCAACTGGCCAGGTCGGGCGCGCACCAGGCCTTCAAATGCTCGCCGCGGACCAGCGACTGGCAGGCCACCCTCGTCGATGTTCGGTACGGGAAACCATGCTGATATGTGGGGTGTGCGATGTGATGCACGACATGAGATGTATGGCTTGTGCATTGAAGTGATGCACGACATGAGATGTATGGCTTGTGCATTGATGTATGACACGTGCATTGATGTATGACGCGTGCATTGATGTATGACGCGTGCATTGATGTGTGACACGTGCATTGATGTGTGATGCATCACGTTTCGCAACTCAAACCGAGTTTTGCACGTTGTTGCCATCCTACTGTAACGACTGTTGACAATATCGCATCTTTGACGTCTATGTAATTGCTTACAATTGGTTGCGCGGTACTTGTTTGACAGGGGGCGCCTTTGAAGGCCTTGGATCTCTCTTCGGAGGTGCGTTCACACTTGCACATGCAGTTGTTATGTGCGCACATGTATGTTTGTGTGTGTGTGTGTGTGTGTGTGTCTGTCACGACGTGCTGCTTCGTTACTTCTTCTCATGCGCAACTGCCTGCGTACTCCAATGTCGCACGCCGTTTTATTTATGTGTATGTTGACGCAGACTTGAACGCGGGCTTGGACGCCTTTGGCGCGTTTCCAGGGTTTGGGGATGGCATGCCATCATCGTCGTCATCATCGTCATCGTCGTCGTCGTCGTCACGGAAGACGATGCCTTCATCGTCATCGAGAAGGACGAAGAAGAAGAACAAGAGGAGGAGGGGAAAGGCAACATCAGCGTCCAAACAGCGAACCACCACAAAACTGCCGCGAACAGCTCCAACACCACCGCCTCAATCATCATCATCATCATCATCGTCGTCGTCGTCGTCGTCGTCGTCGGCGGGTCGGGAGCGATTTTCGCGGACGTCTCGGGAGAAGGAGCGCAGCACGCGCTCGCAAGCGCTCAAGGACCAGCTCAGGAAACGCGCATCCAACAAGGCCAAGAACGGTGTGTGTGTGTGTGTCTGTGCGTATGTGCGTGTGTGCGTGTGTGTGCGTGTGTTTACTCAGGTCTTGTATCCTGTTCGTGTTTCCTCAAGTGTGGTGCATGTGTCCTGTGCTCACCGCTGTTCGTGGCTGCCCCATCATGTTCGTTTGTATTTTGTGCAGGCGGATGCGTGTACACGGTGCAGCACGGCGAAGTCTGCTCCTAAGTCACCGGTAACCACGCACACATTCTCGCAATCCAATGGCCAGCAAACCGCTGCTGTTGCTGCCCGTTACTGCGCAGCACCACTTGGCCATTCTTTCTCTCCTGTGTTATCCCACTGCCATCACGGTGATGGCGTGTCTTGCCTGTGGCATGCTCTCGAGACCCCACCCCCCTGCTTGTTCATACCACAAACTTTCTGTTTCTGTTTCGGTTGTAATGGAAGCACACATGCCCACTATCATACAGTCCGATTATGAAAAGGATGTAACATCACTGCAGCGCAAAGCCACACACACACACACACACACACACACACACACACACACACACACACACACACACACACACACACACACACACACACACACACACACG